AGGCTCTGTGGTTTAACCCACAGCGCCACCCGAAGCTTTTAATGTTTGAGGCATTACTGTATTTTAATATTGTATTGGAAGCCGCCCAGAGTGGCCAGATGGGCGGGGTATAAACAAACAAACAAACAAACAAACAAACAAATAAATAAATAATAATTACTCTACAATAAGTGCAAATACTGCAATGTCATGCAAATGGTGTAGAATTGGGAAAAAAGGCTCAGAAAAGGGCAGACAACATTATCAAGGGATAGAGCAGCTCCCCTAGGAAGAAAGATTGCAGCACTTGAGACGTTTCCGCTTAGAGGGAAGGTGAATAAGAAGTGACACAATGAACGTTTCTAAAATAATGCAGAAAGAGAGAAAACCTCCCACCTCTCTCTCATAACATTAAAACTCATGGATGTCCACAGAAGCAGAATCTTGGAAGATTCAGGGCAGAAAGACTTTTTCACACAGCGCATGGTGAAACCATGGAACTCACTAGCTTCGTAAGTGTGCGACCCTGAAATTTTGTTTGGTCCAGCCAGTCGAAACTTCCTGTTTCCTCCTGGGCTGGGGCATCCTTCCTTTTGCATGTGACAGGAGGTGGGTGTGACGTTACCTGTCCAGGTAACAAAAGGGCAAGTCACGCAGCACACCTCCTCTCTCTTTGACTTCCTCCGTTGTTGGAGCAGCCTTTTAGCTAGAAATGCTCTGTTGACTCTCAGCCAACAGAGGACACTGGGATTATCCCCATATGGGATAGATCCACATGGATATACTTTGTAACTAAGTCTGCCTTCAGGGATCCAACTGTGAACTGATGATGTGAGTAAACTTCTTTTATATACTTTACACAAGATTGTGGCGTGTTTATTATTTTAAGAGGGATATAAGGGAACTTACCAGGAATCAACAAATTCAGTACTTAACCTGAGGTACCACTGCATGGGGTTGCGGTGCTCATCTCTCTTTTCAGGCCGAGGGAGCCGGCGTTTGTCCACAGACAGCTTTCCAGGTCATGTGTCCAGCATGACTAAACCACTTCTGGTGCAACGGGACACCGTGACAGAAACCAGAGTGCATGGAAACGCTGCTTACCTTCCTACCACAGTGGTACCTATTTATCTACTTGCACTGGCATGCTTTCAAACTGTTAGGTTGGCAGGAGCTAGAACAGAGCAACGGGAGCTCACTCCATCGTGGGGATTCTAACCGCTGACCTTCCAATCCGCAAGCCCAAGAGGCTCGTTGGTTTAGACCACAGCACCACACGCAAGCTGTGTGCCATTGAGGGTCCTGCTTGCAGTGGAGCCCATTAATGTACACTCCAAAGCTCTGGTTGCCCTTTCTGTCTTCTACCAAATGGGATGCAATGTGGTATTCTGCAGCATGGGAGCTTGAATGCACAGAACATGTGGGGGTGGGCCTGGCAGGTGCAATCCGGATACAAAACTCATCTGTTATGCAGATTTAAAGAGAGTCTCGGAGCTGGTGATTATGCAGAATCATCCATAAAATGCTGACCATCAGAAAGGAATGGGGTGGGGCAAACGAGGAGTTCTCTGCTGCTCTTGAAATTCCTTTCCCCTGCAACCTCCCCGTCTCTGCACAGCTGGGCTAACAGGAAAGATGGTTCGCATTACTAGGAAGGATTGCAAGTGGGGGTGGGGGCGGCAGCACACATTTTAGGCAATCTGAACCCATCCTTTAAGAAAGCACTGCGGGTTTAAAACAGACACCAAAGAACAGTAACTTGAGAAACTCAGCCTAAAGGGCAAATCCATTATTAAAAAACCAATCTATTAACCTATATACCTATTAGCAAAGTCAAAGCCGGATTTGGGATAATAATAGTCTTCTAAGAACTTTCCTCTGGTTACAGGGATACGGATGGGGATCACATTAAAGCAAAGAACGCAAATGATTTGGGTAATTGACTCCCCAAACCAGATAAAAATTGAAGAGAGAAAAAGCAGGGCCACAAAACGAACACGGATGGCACTTTTTGAAACTTCTGGCTGCACTTTCTTGAAACCAGACGTTCCCAGCCATTGGCTGCGCAGGTGAGGCGCAAGGGAATGTTTATGAACATTCCATGTGCTCGTGAGTTATCTTTTCGAAGTGTCAGCCCATGAGGTGCGTTTCTGGGGAGAAATTGCAGGAAACGGAGGCCGCAGCAATATCACCACTTGAGTCAGTAGACTGTATGACTCATTCATTCATTATTTTCTGCATTTATATCCCACCTTTTCCCTCTACCCCTGCCGGGAGCTCAAGGCTCAAGTATATGGTACTCCCTGCCTCATTTAATCCCCACAACAGTCCTGCGAGGTAGGTTAGGCTGAGAAGCAGTGATTAGCCCCCAAGGTCACCCAGCGAGTTTCATGGCAGTGGGGATTCAAACCCTGTTCTCCCAGACCAGGACCATTCATACTGGATGGTAGAACTGATAAATTAACTGATTGACATATAAACCAGCTATATTAACTGATTAATTTGGCTGATTAACATATTATACCCCTTTTAAATGTGTTTTTTTTTGGGGGGGTTATTGGCATGTGATTTTGTTGTTGTTGTTTTTATGATGTATTTTGTGTTTTTATTATGCATTTTTATGTTATTAACCGCCCTGAGATCTATGGATGAAGGGTGGTAAAAAGGTAAAGGTAAAGGTACCCCTGCCCGTACAGGCCAGTCTTGCCAGACTCTAGGGTTGTCCGCCCATCTCACTCTATAGGCCAGGGGCCAGCGCTGTCCGGAGACACTTCCGGGTCACGTGGCCAGCGTGACAAAGCTGCATCTGGCGAGCCAGCGCAGCACACGGAACGCCGTTTACCTTCCCGCTGGTAAGCGGTCCCTATTTATCTACTTGCACCCGGGGGTGCTTTCGAACTGCTAGGTTGGCAGGAGCTGGGACCGAGCAGCGGGAGCACACCCCGCCGCGGGGATTCGAACCGCCAACCTTTCGATCAGCAAGTCCTAGTTGCTGAGGCTTTAACCCACAGCATAATTTCAAAAGGACAGCTTCCTTTTTTTAAAAAAAAATTAAAATGGTGTAGTGGTTAAGAGAGGTAGACTCATAATCTGGTGAACCGGGTTCGCGTCTCCGCTCCTCCACATGCAGCTGCTGGGTGACCTTGGGCCAGTCACACTTCTCTGAAGTCTCTCAGCCCCACTCACCTCACAGAGTGTTTGTTGTGGGGGAGGAAGGGAAAGGAGAATGTTAGCGCTTTGAGACTCCTGAAGGGGAGTGATAAAGCGGAATATCAAATCCAAACTCTTCTTCTTTTCATTAAAGTTTTTGTGTGTTCCAAACCAAACAGATAAATTCAAGACAGCTTCTTATTATGTTTATTCCTATAAATATTGGCAGAATGTGAGCTCTTTTGGATTCTGGACATTTTCAGATTTTGATTTTTGAAATTCAGTTTGTGGGGAGGGGTTCTTGAAAGCAGGATGGCTCTGAATATCAGTTGTTGGGAATTGCAGGTGGGCTGAGAGTGTAAAAGGCAAAAAGGTAAAGGACCCCTGGACGGTTAAGTCCAGTCAAAGGCGGCAACAGGACACCGTGATGGAAACCAGTACGCACGCACTGGCATGCTTTTGAACTGCTAGGTTGGCAGGAGCTGATCGGCAAGCCCAAGAGGCTGAGTAGTTTAGACCTCAGCACCACCTGCATCCCTGTAGGCAGTGTGTAGGTTTTGCACAAGCATCTATTTGGCCACTGTGATACAAGGATGCCGGACCAAATAGACCTGATCCAAACAATGGATCTATTTTAAATGCTTGGGACCAGTTGATAAGCAATTTGTAGACAGCCTCAGAGGAATTGTGGACCAGAACCTGAGGAAGGATTGCATACAATGGTTTGAGGTAGACGAATCAATGGTCTGCCAAATCCATGCAACCCACCAACTTCTGTTTAAAACCCTCCACTGAAGGAGGGGCCACCACCTTCCGAGTCTATTCTGCTGTCAAACTCCTCTTACCGTCAGAAAGGTCTTCCAAATATTTAGTGGGAACCAGTGGCGTAGCGTGGGGGGTGCAGAGGGGGCCGGCTGCACCGGGCGCAACATCTGGGGTTAGGGCAAATCCACAGGTTAGGGGGCGCAAATCCACGGGTTAGGGGGCGCAAATTACTTGCCTTGCCCCGGGTGCTGACAACCCACGCTACGCCATTATTGTAATTTGGCTTCCAGCCTTCCCCCTTGCAGTGCCTTGATTTCACGGAATCGTGGAGTTGGGACCATGATGATGATGATTATTTATTGAATTTATATACTGCCCTATTGCAGGGGGTTTGATCATCTAGTCCAGCCCACTGTGAAGTGGGAATCTTTTGCCCGATATGGGTTTCGAACCCACAACCGTGAGATTAGGAGTCCCATGATGCTATACAGACTTGAGTGCTGCCACGCTTGGGCAGGGAAAGATTGCTGGCAAAAGATTCCTTCATTGCAGGGGTTGGACTAGATGACCCTCGTGGTCCCTTCCAATTCTACTATATGGTATATGGAATATCATGTCATAGTATATATGTTTCCTTGACATGGCATGTCAATTAATCGTGGCCTAGGGTTTACAGCGAGGCTCACATGGGCAAGTGAGAGAAGTTGGTGCAGCAATAGACTCTCCATTTCAAGGTCGTAGGTTCGAGTCCTACACTGGGCAAAAGATTCCCTGCATCGCAGCGGGTCGGCCTAGATGACCCTCGTGGTCCCTTCCTTGCAACTTTGCGATTCCGTGTTTCTAACCGCCGTCCAAGCTGCTCTGCAGACTCTCCCCCCCCCCCCGCCCGGTCCGCGCGCCCCTCACCGCGGCGTCTGGCCGGCTGGCTCTGGGCCGCGGCCGCTTGGCGCGCGTGACCTCCAGGGGGGCTTCCTTCGCCGCCGCCGCCGCCGCCGGGGGGCGGGAGAATCGGAGGGAGGGAGGGAGAGAAGGAGGGAGACGGGGAGGCGCAGCGCCCGAGCAGCCGGGAGAGGGCGAGGGGAGGAGCCGGGAAGGGAAAAGGGGGCTTGGGAGGAGAGCGAGCCGAGACGCCGCAGAGGAAGGAGGCAGCCCGGGCGCTCCGGGGAGAGGCGGCGGCGGCGGTGGGGCAGGGATGCGCTTGCCGGGGGGCTGCCAGATCCCGGTGCCACGGGGCTCCGCGCGCTGAGCGCCTCGGGGGTCTCCGGAGCGCATCTTCCGCGCTCTCCATGCGCTGATCGAGGGGTGGTGCCGGCTCGGGGATGAAGCAGGCGATCGCGGAGCCCGGGCAGCTGCAGGGCCCCCCGGCGTCGTCGGGGCGGGAGCCCGAGGCCCGGTGGCCGCGCGACGGCGCCAAGAGCGAGGCGAGCGAGGCGGAGCGGCTGCGCACCCGCGAGCGCCTGGAGGCCACCCTGGCCGGGCTGGCCGAGCTGGAGTTGCTGCGCCAGCGCCACGAGCTGCGCGTCAAGCGGCTGCTGGCCGCCGCGCCCGCCGATGCCCGGCCGGGGGCAGCGGCTCCGGGGAGACGGCGGCGGGAGAGGCAGCCGCGCCAGGGGTCGCCACCGCCGCCCCGCGCAGCCTGGAGGAGAAGTTCCTGGAGGAGAACATCCTGCTCCTGCGGAGGCAGCTGGTGAGTCCAGGGGCGCGGCGCGGCGGAGGCGCAGCGCAGCCTGGCTGGTGGGGCGGAGGGTCGCGGAGACCCCCCCTTGCGGCGGAAGGAGTAGGTGCCGGCACAGCCGTCCCCCAGTCCCCGCACCTCTTTGCAGCGCACGGGGCGCGCGGCGAGGGGACTTCTGAGCGCGTGCAGAAAGCGCCTCGTCTCCATCCGGGCGCACGTGGGAGTTGGCAATCGGGTGTCTGTTTTCGTCTCCTTTGGGAGCCCCCCCTTGTCTGAGCCTTCCCTCGGGTAACGGCTGCTCTTTATTAAGAGTCCTGAGCGCCGGATTCGTTGGGTTGCAGATCAGGAGCGCCTCAGAGAGAGACGGTTTGCAGGGGATAAAAAGAGGTTTGTCTTGGGCGCCTGAGAAAGCTTCCCTGCTGGAAATGCACTTGGAGATATTTTTGAGAGCTGCTCCGTTGGGAGCGGAATGACCGGTCACTTCCATACAGAGCGAGTCCGGCGGTAGGGACACACCTTTGCTTTCTTACCACCCCCCCCAAAAGCTTATGGGGTGACTCTAGATGGGTGGGGGGAAGAAGGAAAGAAAGGGCAAGCGCCAATCATTGGTGAGGGTGTGTGTGAGATCGAGTGTGCATGCAGAATAAAACCGAGCTGTCTGTCTCAGTCGGTTAGAAGTCAGTGGCAGGCAGCCCCATTGCAGGGGATTTGAGGCTCCGCTCCAAATGAGGGAGCAGAGGGTCTGGGCACTCACCCGAGGCCCATACAAAATGTGGGGACATCCCCTTTCTTGTATGAGTTTGTGGGAGACGCAGTGTTCTTTGGAGTCTCCCAGTGCTCCAAAACATCAGAACGGCAGGATGCAGAATAGACACCAGTCTGTCTCAAAGAATCGAATGGTTCTCTCTGAAGCAATCTGCGGGTAGTATCCTAGTGCAGAAATCAGAATAGTAAATATTTTTAAAATCTGCTCTATTCTAGGCAGGACAGCCAGCCTCCTGCTCCTGTTCTCTGGCCTCCCCTTTGCTCATCCTCTTTGGGGTCTAACAATAGCAGCCATAGCTGCTAGTATGTAGTGATTAATTACTGCAGCTTCCAAATGAGGTGGAGGGGAGGGGGCTGTGGGTGGGTGTGTTTGCCACCGCACTGCACTGAAAGTGACCTTAGGGAATGGCTTTTCCTTTTTTCCCTTCCTAAATTCAGTGGTTTTTTTCCTTTCGTCTTTTCGTGGGAGATTTGGGGAGGGCACTTGGCGAAGGAGTGTATTGCTAGCTCGCTGTATTCCTTGGGCACGGACTCCAGTATTAGATTGCCTGCTGCATGGAATTAATTTGCCTCCTGCGGATGCTGTTAAGGGACGGTGTGTCCGTGTTGGCAAGAGCGGACAGGAGGGCCAGGAAGGAAGCATTTATCTTATTGAGTTTCTGTCCTCGCTGGGGCCTTTCGGAGATTGCTTTTGTTGAATCGTAAAAGGGGAATTAGGAAGAACTGGGCGAAATGATTAGAGCATCACCTGATCACTGTAGTCTATTTCTGTAGTCAACTCTTAGGCGTCCAAGAACGCGGTTCGGGGTACCTGGATTAAGCATGGCTCAAAGGAAGCTTGCCTTAAACTGAGACAGACCGTTGCCCTATGTAGCTCAGTACAGCTTGCACTGGCTGGCAGCAGCTCTCCAGGGTTTCAGATGAAGGATGTTCATGGAGAGGCTGGGGATTGAATTTGGGACTTTTCTGCGTGTGGACGCTCTGCCTTTGAGCTTACAGCCCTGCCTGTCCTGGGAGGAGGAGAGCCTGCAGAGAACAATGGGTGCCAGGGAAATTCTCCTGCACAAGCCTCACTGTAATGAGTGGGAACGGCGCTGCTCTTGCATGCTTTCCACTCTGTAAAGCCAGCGGGAACGGCGCTGCTCTTGCATGCTTTCCACTCTGTAAAGCCAGCGGGAACACCTTCTGCAGCGCTGCTAAGAAATACACTGGCAGCAAAGGCATGGGAATTGGCTGGTGCTCCCCTAGACTGGATCCTGCTGCTGCATTCCAGTGGGGATGGTACAGGAGCAAAGGGATGTTTGCCCACTGCAGCGAAGGAGGGTTTTCCTTCCTTTCCCTTGCGCAGCTTACAAGGCAAGAGGTTCCAGCTGGCTTGCGACTGCTGGCACCCAAGGCCTTTCTGTGTGCTCCGTTCCAGCGGAGGTTTGTGCAAGGGAAGTTTCAGGGGGGCTGTTACTTTTGCCACAATGAGAAAAAGAAAGGATTGTCAGACTCTAGTCTCTTGCCCTTGGCAGCTTGTTAAGCGAGGCTGTTCATGTCTTCTGTGCCATGACTTTCTCTGCCAAGGAAGGCGAGGTCTGTGCGCCGGGGGTGGGGGACGAAAGCAGCTCAGCTTCTGCAGTCAAAGGCAGGGAAGCCAAGAATCACCCCAGCTCTGTAAAAATAGATGGAAATGTTGCTTATGGCCCAACAATGTGCTCAATTGGTATGTTTGATTTTGAACATGATATTAAAAGGCAGTGTGTTGCGCATGCAAGAGTAGGCAAGGAGCATTGGAGTGGACCAGGAGCACTGCAGTGGGGAACATTACAGGGGGTCATGAAATAATAATAATAATAATAATAATAATAATAATAATAATAATTTGTTTATTTCCCCAGCCACTCTGGGCAGCTTCCAACAAAGTATTAAAATACAGTAGTCTGTTAAACATTAAAAGCTTCCCAAAACAGGGCTGCCTTCAGATGTCTTCTAAAAGTCCGGTAGTTGTTCTTCTCTTTGACATCTGATGAGAGGGCGTTCCACAGGGCGGGTGCCACTACCGAGAAGGCCCTCTGCCTGGTTCCCTGTAACTTGGCTTCTCGCAGGGAGGGAACCGCCAGAAGGCCCTCGGAGCTGGACCTCAGTGTCTGGGCAGAATGATGGGGGTGGAGATGCTCCTTCAGGTATACTGGACCGAAAAGTGGCTGGGTGATGGGTGACGGTGAAGGACCCACAAGTAGCGGCCACTTGCTAGAACAAACAAGAAGCCTGCAGCCAGGAAGCAGAATGGTCAGTTCAAATAGCTTCTACTCATTTTATCAGCCCTGGTGTCCCCCTTCCCCCGCTTGCCAGGTCACTGTTGCACCAAAAAGTAGAAGTAGAATGCAAGATACTCTTAAAGTATATACCACAGCTCTTTCAGGATCTAGAACCTGAATGCCGCAATGCTCATTCCGTTCCACAAGGCCTGTGTGAGGTTTTCAGTCCCAGCCAAAGGGACAGCTTTCGCTTCCCTCACAGGAGCTGGACTGCGCATGTTTCAGCAGCTCTGTTCCCGGAGCAGTTGGAAAGTTTGTGGACATTCTGTGCCGTCACACAGCTGGTGTCCAGGCAGTGTTAGAAACTGGGATAGAAAAGCTAGGAGCCAAATGGCTTCTGGGACCTGGGTTGTGGGTGCCAAAACAGAATGTCTGGTCGCTACTGAAGCGGGGGGGGGGGGTCGGCAACACTTTTTATTTTGTATTCTGATAAGCATAGAGTAATATGCAATTCACATGAGTGACACATTGTTAATATCACATTTTTAGCAGAAATGGTTAATACAGTACATGTTTAATTCGGTGTTTACAATAAAAAATTGGTACCATACTTAAGTTTTCAAAACATTCTACTCTTTATTGTTAAATTCCTTAATGTATTGTCTATCCTTAACATATACAGTGGTACCTCGGGTTACAGATGCTTCAGGTTACAGACGCTTCAGGTTATTACAGACTCTGCTAACCCAGAAATAGTACCTCGGGTTAAGAACTTTGCTTCAGGTTGAGAACAGAAATCGTGCAGCGGTGGTGCGGCAGCAGCAGGAGGCCCCATTAGCTAAAGTGGTGCTTCAGGTTAAAAACAGTTTCAAGTTAAGAACGGACCTCCAGAACAAATTAAGTTCGTAACCCGAGGTACCACTGTACTTTGAGGCCTCAAAGCACATACATTTCAGTAATCCTTGAGTGTCAGCCAAGCGCAAAAAATGGCGCCCAGACTTTTGGAGGTGCTCGCAAATGGAGAATTTTTAGGTTTAAAATGCTCCTGGCGCCCTGCTAGTTTCAAACCCTGTGTCCAGGGCTTTATTACCATAAGCACAACAAGTTACAGGTGAGTGTGGAACACCTGTTTTGCAGGTGTGAGCTGGGAACTGGGCGATGAAGGAATGCAGAAAACTCATGGGCGTTTTTAGCAGCTGTCGTTGCAACCACTGCTGTTGGATAGTTCAGCCAGGAAAGAGAACCGTGGGGGGGGGGCAGTAATTCGGACCACAGACTTGCCCATAGTTTCAACCAAGTAACCAGGGAAAGAAGTGTTTGTTGACAGTATGTTGCAGATTGTGTTATGGAAACCACAGGATGGGAGAGGGCTGCTTGTGCTCAGGTCCAACGTCCGGGCTTCCGACTTGAGCATCCGATTGACCACTGTAAGAACAGAATGCTGGATCATTTAGCCAGGCTCTTATGGAAGCAGGCAGGTTTTTCACTAGCAATAATCTTGCTCCATGTGTCCGGATGTTCTGCGCGTGCACATCAGCACCAGAGTCTCCTCCAGCCTTCATGGTGCGGGTCAGGGCCTCGCTGTCCCAGGGGCTGTATTATTGAAGACCATCCTAGGAGATCTCCGTGGCTGCCATTGACCTCCTTGGTAGATGCCAGGCTGAAAGCAACCACGCTTCTGTCCCTCCAGAATCCCAAACCACCTTCCTCTGTGTTGTAATTCAATCTTTGACGCCCGCGGGTGGCGCTGTGGGTTAAACCACAGAGCCTAGGACTTGCCGATCAGAAGGTCGGTGGTTCGAATCCCCACGACGGGGTGAGCTCCCGTTGCTCAGTCCCTGCTCCTGCCAACCTAGCAGTTCGAAAGCATGTCAAAGTGCAAGTAGATAAATAGGTACCCCTCCAGCGGGAAGGTAAATGACGTTTCCGTGCGCTGCTCTGGTTCTCCAGAAGCGGCTTAGTCATGCTGGCCACATGACCCGGAAGCTCCCTCGGCCAATAAAG